AGGGCGCGCCGGGCGGGCCGCGCGCGGCGCCTGCTCCGGGGATGCGAGGGCCCGACGGGGCGGCCCGGCGGAGGAGCGGCGCCCGACTGCGGGCCCCGCCGGAGGCCATCCTCCGGCGCGCCCCCCGCCGCCCGGATGGAGCTCCGCGCCCCGGGCTCGCGCTTCCTCCTGCCCCGCTCCCAACACCGCCCCTCTTCTGCCTCCCCGCGCCGAGGCTGGCTCCTTTTGTCCGAGAGGCCGGGCGGCGCCGCCGGTGGCGCTCGGGCCCGCGCAGGCGTCCCCCGAACTTTGCCCGAACTTTGCCAAAGTTCCCCGGCGCGCCGCTCGCACTTTCGGCGCCCTCCGCGGGCCCGGGCGGCGCTCGCTCGGCGCCGGGCCGCCGCTTTGTTGCCTGCGCCTCCCAAGAATGCGGCGGCGATGGTGGAGCGAGCCCGAAGAGGCGCCCGCCCCGCCGCCGCCGCCGCCGCGCCGCGCCTCCTGCTCCCCCTTCTGCCTCCACGACGGAAGCGCAGCCGCGGGCCGGGCGAGGAGGCGCGCGGCGGGGGGCGGGGGGAGGCGCGACCCCGCCTTTCCGACGGGCCGCGGCGGCCCGGCCGAGCGGCGGGGCGGGGAGCGGGACGCGGGGAGAGCCCGCCGGGCGCTGGAGGAGGCGCGGCGGGCCCCGAGTGTCGGTCGCTTGCTGCTCGAGCGCCGAGCGAAGACGCGCGCAACTTCGGCTGCGGGCAGGGGCGAGGCCGCGCGGCGGCCGCCGGATTCTCCCCGCTGGGCCCCCGGGCCCGCCCGAGGGCTGCCACGCATCCCCACGGAAGGGCCTGCCCGCCACGCGGAGGGCTCGGGCTGGCGGCGCACGGCGCGGCCCCGGCGCTTATCTTTGCGTGGGGCCGCCTCGACGAGACGACCGCGCCAGGCACCGGCAGCACCGCTCACCGCCGGCCCAGGCCGCGAGAAATGCCTGCAGCTGCAGGTTGGCAGGGTTCCCTTGGCGCGGGCGGCCAGCGGTCCTGATGCACGTGTGGACGCGCCTAGGAGCGCGAGGGAGCTCTGGGGGGACCCCCCAGCGTGGAGCCCTCTCTCCTGCCAGCCAAGCCCCTGGCCGAGTGTTCCAGGGTCGCCGCCTCCACCCGCCTGGCCCCCTTCTTCCTCGCCAGGCTGCCTTGCCCAGGCTCAGTTCTCAAGGCCCTGTTTGGGATGGGGTGGGGGCGCTTTCCCCGCTCTGGCCTCCCAGGGGTTGCTTTTGGCTGCAGTCCCACTGGGGCTCGCCAAGGGGGTGGGCCCTTCCTGGAGTGACAGGGTGGCGTGGCCGGCCGCAACCCCCGCTCTGACGGGTTGGGGAAGAGGGCGGCCCCACTGTGGCAATCCCCACAGAGCTGCCCCCTTCTCGCGCTTTGGGGCGGGCAAGGCGTGCCTTCCCATGTGGCAGGGCCGGCCGGCCGTTCACCGGAAGGCCTGTGCATGCCACACTTTCCAGTGTCCCTCGCAGAGGTTCGTCCTTCCGGTTACGCACTGCATCTCTCCGGCAAAATCCGCAGGAACCACGACTCCTAAGACAGTCCTGTGGACAAAGGCCGGGAGCAGCAGGGAGTCCAGGAAAGGAGGCCGAGGAGAAACGGGAGCTGTAGTCCTGTGCAGCTGGGGGGGCCCAGTTTGGGTGAGTCTGGGATAGAGAACAGCCTTCCCTGCAGTGATGTTGGACTGTCACCCCCCCCGCCCCGTGTGCTCCAGCCAATGCAGCACCCGGTGTGGGGTGGTGGGAGTTGTGGTCTAAGCCATCTATACAGAATCCTTTGCTGGGGCCTCGATGCTGTTAGTAATATTACTTTGCTCCTCTTTCTGCCTGCCTGCATTTCTCCTGTGCAAGCGTGGGCACCCTTTCATTTTCCTCCTTTGGGCAAGATGCCCGTTTCCTGAAGGAGGCCTTTTTTTCCTAATAACTTCCTTGGCCGTGCTGGTTAACCCCCCTGCCGACCTTCTGGGCATCGTGCTTTCCTAACCTGCAGTATACACACCATCCCAGCTTCTACTGTTGTAGCTTTGTGTAACCTCCAAGCATTCCGAGGGGTTTGCTGCTCTTGCCTCCTCTGCTCAGCCGTCTTACCAGTTCCCTCCTTTTAGAGCAGTTGCCTCTTTGAAGTTAAACGAGACCATGTGGGGCCTCTTTCACAATTTTCCAGCTCACTGTATTTAAAATCCGATAGCGCTGGAGTCACTGTTTCCCATAAGTTCAACACTTATTGAGCTGGCTGGAGCCGGGGGTCAGACTAGATGGCCCAGGGGATCCCTTCTGACTCGCTCTCTTTCTATATTTCTGTGTTTCTAACACCTTTTACATACCATGTGAGGTCTTGGGAGACCCTCCTGGGATTAAATCCAGGACTGCTTCTCCCCATGGCACGTCCAGGACCCTCTGTTGAGGTCAGGGTCATTTAGGAGTTCGATAAACTGGTCCTCTTTGTTGGAATGTGCATTTTTCCATTCAACAGAGTGATAGTTGTGGTTAAGTAGTTGATTCGTTTTTTAGATTTCTAACCCGCCCCATTAGCCATACAGCTCCCTGGGCAGTTACAACAACAAAAATACGATATGAAATGCAGTGTAAAAACAGAGATTACAAATAATAATAAAACACTGAAACCAACATAAAATGCACAGAACGGATAACGTCATTAAAAGACATACCGCACAGTTAAAATACTACTTGAAAACAACTGAAACACTGTCGAAGTAAAAAGATCTTTGCCTGGCACCTAAAAGAATGCAGAGAAGGCACCAGGTGAACCCCTCTGGGTTCGTACGTCTCTTGTACATACCCCAGCTCTGGAATGAGTCGGGGTACATATGAGGAATCTGTCTGCAGCGGGAAACCCATGCATCAGATTCCTGGGATGGCGGTCCACAGACGCCAGTCCGCTTTGCAGAGGCTCAGAGTCCATGTTCTTGGGAAGCACTCGGAGCGTTTCAGGAAATCAAACCTAGATTGGGAATGCTGAAAGACCAGCAGCGGAACATGCTCTCTGTCCAGGAGAAGCTAAAGAGAAGGTGGAAAGAATGTAGGGAAGAAGGAAGGAGAAGAGATGGAAGGCAGGCAGGCTTCTTCCAAGAGGTTCCTACCAAGAAGGACCTCCAGTGTTAGAAAGTGAAGTGAAGCGAAGTGAAGCCCGCTGGGAGCACCTGGAAGGAGCAGTGCTCCCCCAGGAGATAAGAGGAGAGCTTTGACTGACAGAAAGATAAACAGGGAGGGTCAAATCAAGCCAGAGCTTTCCCTGGAAGCATCTTACTTGGGCCACCTCACAAGGAGGCTGGACTCCCTGCAGGAGACAATCCTGCCAGGGAAAGCCCCAGGCAGGGGGAGTGGAAGCCCAGCCCTGGGGAGGTGGGCTCCATCAAGGAGCCGCAGCCTCAAGTGTGCAAGAGCTGAGCCGGGCTGTCGTGGGCCGCGTGGGGTTTTGCGTTGGGGGGCCCCTTCACTGGCTCACGAGGAGTCAGAAATGCCTGGGCGGGACATGAAGTGAGCTTTTGACTCCAGCCCTTTCGCCTTCAGCCCACGAGACCGTCAGGGTTGCCCTCAACGGAAGGCTCCTACAGTCCACCACCGGAATGGGTCTGCTGCCTGGGGCTGATGGGAACTGCAGTCCTGAATATCTAGAGGGTACCGAGTCGGGAAGGCTACTTTAGAAGTGGAATTTTCATCTCGAAGAGGCAGGAGGTTTCCAGAATGGAGGAACCCCCTGGCCGGCGAGCTTCCATCTTGTCTGAGCTGGGCGCCTGTTGGCCGGCCGGAGGCATCATGGCTCTTGCTTCCTCGGCGCCTCCGTGCGAGCCACATGGGGGCTGCTTGTACACGGAGTGGAGCAGAAATACTAGACGCGCTTGGGGGCCCTGGCGCAGTGATGCTCCACGTCCCCAGTGGGCGCAGCGTTCCATGGCGGAGGGGTGGGCACTGTGTTCCCTGGAAAGCTTTTCTTATGTCACCAGCGTTCTGTTACCACTGGCTATGCTGGTGGGACCTAGTGTGGCCTCTTTTACAGAGCACAGTCCTCTGTTTTGGGGGTGTTCCCTGCTGGAAGAAGCAGTTCAGAAGAGCAACAGGCCTGAGTTGCCCTTCCACAGCGATTTGCAGCCGCTCGCAGGATCACCAGGCCGGGGCAAACCGCCCCTCGTTTTGAACCTCCTCGGCTGAGAAAGCCCCTTCGGGCTGGCCTTAGCTTCGCCCCACCTTGCACAGCTCGCCCTTCTGGGGTGAGCTGCACGCCTAAGGTGGAACCCACCCACAAAGCCCATTTACGAGGGCGGGATGAGGGCTTGTACGCATCGGATTTCTGAAAAGACGTCAAGGGCATTTTGCATTACGGCATCCATCCAAAGTATACTTCCCTTGAAAAGCGTCCCATGGATTTCGCAGAGGTAAATTCCGAGCATGCTCACGTGACGGCAGCCTCTGCTTGTGTTCCAGTTGTTGCTTTGCTTCTGGCTGATACGTGAGCAGTGCTTGCTTCGGAGGATCCCGGGTTCCGGGAACGGGCGGGGGAATGGGGGGCACACTTGCCCACGTGCCACAGGTCGCAGAGCTGCCGTTCGGGCACTCACCCGCCTTGCCCACAGGGAGGCCGGGAGGGGAGGGCCCAACTCCGCGCCAGCCCCGGCGTGTGTGGCGGTCCCACGGGGGCTCCCACTCGTGTGCCGCAGTGCCGCAGGCCGGAGTTGAGGCAGCGGTGCAGACCGCCCTCCTCCTCCCGGCCATGCCGAGATCCCATTGCAGCTCAGCACCCTAGAAAACCTCCAGCGGTGGCCGAGGAAACCTGGCCGGGGGCCTTGCTGAGGCCCCGGCCCCTGCAGACAGGCGCCGCTTGTGCCTCGCCCGGCTCTGACGTCGTGGCGTTTGGCCCCGGAGCTGAACGTGGGTGGGACGCTTGCTTTCCATCGGAGCTCTGTTCGCCGGGAGAGGCAGGAAAAGTTCTGCAGTTGCCAGGGCAGGGACTGTGCGTGTGTGGTCCCACCCCCCCCCCCGCAGGCGGAGGAGTGCGGCTCCGTGGCCATGTTTGCATATGCAAGCCAGAAGCAGGCTGCCTCCTTCAGCTCCAAGAGCCAGAGTGAGCAGCAGAGTTCAGAAGCAGCACTTTTGCTTTTTTCTTTTGCACGGAAGAACTTGGAAGCGCTCATTGGTGCTGCCTGGGTCTCCGGCCACGTGGACTCTGGTTCCGGAGCCATTTCCGGCCTTCCAAGAAAAGCGACGTTTGTGTCTAGGCGGATTCCCAAGTTGTGACACTGGCGCCCTGCAGATGTATTGGGCTAGAGGTCCCCGGATCTGCTGGGCGGCCTGGGGGGCGCTGGCAGCTCTGGAGGAAAACGCCTGGAGGGCAGGAGTGCCCGGGAGCGCTGGCGTATCCTTTGCGTGGTGATGGTTCCCACATTGGCGTGCGCACACTCACGGTTTTTGCATTTTGCTAAAACTTAGTGCGCAGAGATCAGCCAGAGTTGGAAACGATGTGAACCATGCCGCTGTGCTCCAACAGCCTCCCCCGTGCAGCCCCCCCTGGGCCAAGTGTGCTACCTTTGTGGTGCCATCAGTGTGGACACGCCGTGAAAGAGCTACCTGGCAGCCCAGGAGCTCACGGAGATGACCTGTCCCAGGCGTTTTTTTACGGAGTCATTCTTCGCTGTATGTTTTGACTGTTTTAAACCCTTTAAGGGTTGAGTTTATATTTTTATTGTATCTCCTGGTCTTGCTTTTCTGGATGGTGGTAAACCATACCAAGCGCTTCAGCTAAGGAGCAATACGGAAACGCAGTCAGTCAGTCGTTAGAGAGACGCCTCCAAGACGCTCTGGCCCAGGGCCCGGCCCCGTGGTACAGCGAGCACTGCCGCCCCCCCCCCGACCTTCCTCGGTACTTCCCACAATTGTGCAGGACACGCGGGGAGGAAGAAAAGGAGCTTTGCTTCTGCGAAACAGGCATCTTTTGGCACTGGGCTGAAGGAGAGGTGGGTGCCCCCACCTCTGGCTTTTGCAACGGCTTGTGGGCAGGTTCCACGTCCTCCAGCACAGCCACTTCGTAGTGGCACTCCGGACACTTTCCCAACAGCCTGAAGCATTCACTGACCCAGAAAGTTTGTCCACAGCTGCTCGTGGTGGCCGTGGGCCGCTCCTCACCAGAGGACCGCTAGCCCCTGGCGTGACTCCCATCTTCCCCTGCCCTTAATGCGTTTTTGCTGGGAAGGTGCGGGATTGCAAAGAGGCGCTGGCAGCACCAGGGGCCCTTGCGAAGCCCAAGAGGCAGGCTTTGGGCCTGGGGAACCCGTTTTGTTTGGGTTCTGCTGGGAGCACACCAGTCAGAGCAGGCTTCCCCAGTGTGGGGTCTTCCAATAGATCGGACTACAACTCCCACCCCTTCCAGCCTCCAAGGGGAGGATGGGAGTCTTAGTCAAGGTATTGGGAAGGCTGAGCAGGAGATGGGTGCCAAGCGAGGGCCAAGGGCTGAGCCAAATGCAAAACGGTCCCTGTGGGGCTGGAGAGACGGGCTCCGCCACTGTGCCCCACGTGCTCGTTAAAGAGAGGGTCTCCGCGTCCAGGGGCATTACAGTCGGGGACCCCACGAACCTAACCCCGAGGCAGCCACCTCTCTCCCAGTTGCTATGCTTGGACAACTGGGACTCAGAAACCCCGGCCAATGGGCAGCAAGTGCCCGCAGTTTGGTTCGCCAACTCTCTGGCCTTCTCTCCCCAAGCTTGTTTCCCATAATAAAAGACCCAAAAGCCAGGCTTGGCGGGGGGCCAAAGAGTTCCAGGTTCTAGTCGCCACTTGACCCCAAAGCTTGCTGGGTGACCTTGGGCCAATCCCTGACTCTCAGCCTAGCCTACTCTGCAGGGTTGGTGTGAGCCTAAAGTGGAGAGGATTGTGCAGTATCACCCTCTGTTCCTTGCAAGGAAAGCGGTGGGCTACAGAATTCCTTTTGTCCCTATGTGGACAGGCAGGACCTGGCAGCAGGAATCCAGGCCCTGGCAACCTTGTGTGTGGAGCACCACAATGTCCTAGTCCTCTTTAAGGCGCTTACATTAACATGCAGGGCTGGAGACGGTTGAGGGCTGGGCGTCTAAGGGAGTGTCTCCCCCCCATGGACACCTGCCCAGACCTTCAGACCATCTTTGGAAGTCCTTCTCTAGGAGACACCTTTAAAAGCAGCGGGGAAGGTGGCCACGAGGGGAAGGGCCTCCTTGGTTGTGGCCCCCCAAGTGTGGAATCTGTTCCCCGGGGAGGAGTACCAGGCGCAATCCTTGATACATTTTGGTGCCAGACCAAAACCTTTGTATTGTCCCAATATTTTAATTGGTAAATGTTATATTGGTTTTTACGCATATCGTCACTGGTACGATTGTGGCTTTTTATGCTGGTGACTTGTCTTGCTGTTGTTGTTGGCGGTGTTCTGAATTGTTGATGGCTCTTGTTGATGCCTTATTGACACCAGAGTTAATTATGTGATCTTGTCTTTTTATGGCTTTTATCCTTGTACACAGTTCAGACAGCTTTTTCACTGGGAGAGCAGCATATAAAAGCTTTACTGTAACAAAAAGCCTGGCACAGCCTCTTGTTCAGACCAGAGACGCTTTCAGTGCCCTCCCTTTGACAGCAGCAGCCACCCTCATGGGACTATAAAGTTTAGAGTGAGCTAGGTCCCTGCCCATAGGAGCCTACAGTTTAAACAAGGGACACTGAGGAAGAGGGGGAAAGCCTAGCCAGGAGGAGGAAACGGCCCTGCAGTGGCAGCCAGATGGGTTGGGCTCCATACCTCATCGTCCACACCTGATGGACACCAGGTTGGGGAAGATTAGAACAGGCTGCGCCGTTCCAGCCACACGAGGCGAGGCCTGGGGGGGCTTCAGGGTGGCCAGCCCCGAACACGGACAACTGATCCCTTTCAAAGGAACCCAGTGTTTGCGTCATTCAAGCGGCAGGGACGGCCATGGCTGGGAAGCCTGCAGAACACAGGAAAACGCCAGTGAGCAGGGCTGAGCCACAGTGGGCGTCCGGGCCCCCTTCTCCGCCAGAGCCTCCGCGGGAAGGAAAGCCACAAGAACCCCGCAGCCAGCCGCCCGGTGGCACCGACGGGACAAGCACAACACGCGCAAGCAACACTGGGCCCTTCCGGCATTCGGTATGGACTGCAGAGCGCCATCTTGCTCCGCTTCGTTTCTTTCTTAAACTGCGCGCATAGCGAGGCAGAGCGGCTAGGCCTGGTCCCGGTTCCGGGTCCTGCTTCCGGCAGACGCCCTTCCAGGCTGCCCAAGGGGCAGCTCCTGCCGCGTCCCAGTGCGGAGGGCGTCTGCACAAGCCCCTGCTTCCAAGGGTTCCAGACAAGTGCTGCAGCTCCACCCGCAAGTGGGTCCGGGTGGCCCGTTCCATACGTGGCTCTACCTCCAGGAATAAACCACAGCCAGGAAGACACGATCCCCCAGTGGCAGGCGTGACTGGCGCCTGGCTCAAAGGGGACGGGGACCGCTGGCAGCCCTGATGATGATGATGATGATGATGATGATGATGATGAATTAACTCTGGGCTTGGCATCTCTGCAGCTCCACCAGACCGGCAGCTTAGGGCACCTGCGGATGCCCGACCACTGGCTCTGCCGGCTGGGGCTCATGGGAACCGAAGTCCAAAACATTTCCAGGGCACCCTGTGGGAAAACTGGCTTGGAGCGGGTGTGCATTCCCCTCTGGCGTGGGGAAAGCCCACATCCCAGCGGGAGGGCCGAGGTCCCACAAGGACGGACGATGGAAGGCTACGAGGCCCTCACACAGAGCGGTGCGGCTGAAGCCGTTCCAGAAACGGCCGGCAATGGCATGTTCGAAGCTCAGCCGGGCACAGGCGAAGGCCGGTCTGCCCCACACCTTCCGCAGGACCTACACAAGTAGGGGTGCACCACGCATGTGCACGCCGTCTGGCCTGCGGGCGAACCGGAGCGATGCGCCGAACGGGTTGCTTTGGGCCACGCACACCCAGGCGGCCGTGGAAGGTCGCGGCTCGGGACGGCCCAGGACCAGCCGTGCTGCCCTCGGCGCGGCCTCCGGCGTCGCGACTCAAACGGCGTCGCGTTGTGCAGCACACGGCAAGCGCCGAAAATGCTGAAGCCGCCGCCTCGCCATGACCCGCGGCTGAACGAGGCTCGCAGGCAGCCACTCTGCGCTACCCGGTGCGGGACCAGCTGCGGCGATGCTCTCGGAATGGGCGCCGACGTCCCTGCCCGGGCTGAACAGCGATCATGAAAAGGAGTCACACAAACTTCGTCTTTATTCTTACATAAATGTTAATTCTGTGCCGAGCAGCACGTTGCAATCAAGGATCCCCTCCTCATTTTTAAAAATAACGCATGGCCCATTCGCCCCGATCTGCACGACCGACACATCACGGGGAAGGGAAAATGGAGTTTTAGACCATTCTGGCTTCCCAGGCAAAACTAGCGCAACCTCCTCCCCTTGGTACCCTCCAGCATGGCCAGCAGCTGGGGAGCATGGGCATTGCAGTCCAACACACTGTAAAGATAGAAGGAGCAGCACCCTGCTATACAGAAAGGACGTGTTGCTAACTGGAGATGCAGGAAGGATGGGGCAACTTTATCCCTTCATGTTTGTTGAGCAGCACAATCACTGCCAGGTAACTAGTCCTCATTGGGTGAAGACAAGGCATCGGAATAGCTGGGGGATCACACAGCGGCATGTTCAGAACCACCTATCTCATGAAATACAGCACACGGAAGAGTTTATATGGCACTGAATCCCATATTCCCAAGGACAGGAAAACCAGTGGCCGGCTCAGCCGAGGAACCAGGCTGACTCCACTCCTTCCCCGCCGCTGGCTCAGCAGAGCGCCTGATGGCGCAACTTGGGGTCGCTGCAGCTGGGGAGCCCTTCTCCTATGGGGCGGGCCTCACGGCAGAGAGGGACAGAAGCCGGGCAGAGTCTTCTGCCCCCATGTGGGGCCCTGGAGCTTCTCCCTCCCTGCACGATCCAGTTTGGGGAGCTGTCCAAGACCAGGTTCCCCTGATATCTCACTGCTGAACAGGGCGTTGCCAGGGAACCCTAAGGCACTGCCGGCACTCGGTTCATGCACAGGCATCCTGCTCCCACTGGGCCAAGGAAGACAGAGGGTTTGGTGACAGCAAGGTATCACGGCAGCCTCTCCAGGTCCGCCTTTCTCCCCACACTTCTTACTGGTCCCTTTTGTTCCGTGGAAAAATCTCGGGGCACCAGAGAGATCATCTAGTCCACCCTGGCCCTGCTCATGGCAGGCTCTGCACTGCAGCTCCAGAGGCAGCTACGCCATCCCTGCCAAAGGCTGCCCGGCTCCGCTTAAAGCACCTTCTGCAAAGGAAAGGCCGGCGCTTCTTGCCCTGCTGTCCAGTATCTGACCATGCAGCGGTTTCTACTCCCTTTTCTTTGCCCAGTTGGCTTGGCGGATGCAGCAACCCGCGGGCCGTGCCTTCCGATCTTATCCTGCACCTCAGCGCAGGAAGCGAGAGCTGTCGCCCCTGCGAGCCTCGCCAGCCCTCCTCCCCACGAGCCATCGCCTCTGGGGCGTCCAAATGCGCCAGCAAGCGGCAAGCGCGGGTGAGAGCTGGGCTTCCGAGCACGCCACCTCCACCTGCCGCCGGAGCCTTAGAAGGAATCCTCATCTTCAAGGGGGCTTCCTCCGGGCCCAGCTGGCGGTCTCTTCAGCCCCCGCAGGGCGCCACACGGTGGTCGCTGGCAAATCCGCGGCAGCGGCGCGGGGGGGGCAGGAGGCGGCCCCTGCGCCGGCTCTCCGCACGTCTCCCGTCAGTACCAGAGATCGGCCCGGTGCTGCTGGTTGTAGTGCTGCAGCTTAATCTGGTCTCTGATCTGGCTGACGAGCAGCTGCGAGAGCAGGATCCCCACCAGCTGTGCGCGGCAGGAGGGAGGAAGCGCCGAGCGGGTCATGAGCCAGGATCCGGGGAGCGCGTCCGGCAGCGGCCTTCCGGGCCGCGGAGGCTGGCCGGGCGAGGGGCTCCAGGGCGCCCTGCCAAGGGCGCGGACGGGACCACGGCCTGCCTTCCCAAGCGAGGCACCACGGTGGAGCCCGGCAGCGGGCGCAGCCACACGTTCATCTGGCCAGCGTTTGGCATCCCCCCGCCCTCCCTGGGCCCACCTGGGGGCTTCCTCCTCCCCGTAGGAGGCTGCGCCAGAGGTCTGCTGCAAAGGGGCCCCCACCTCTTGGGGCCTTCCCCCAAGCCAGGCCTCCCCATACGCCCCGCTGCCAGCCCGTGGCTGCTCAACATGGAAGGCAGCCTTGTGGGCACGAACCCTCCTCCCCCCCCCCCCCCCTGCCCTCCCCCCCCCTCACCGAGGGCCCAGCTCGCCCCGTCCGAGCGTCTCTCCCCCACTCTGGGAGGGTGCTTGTGCCCATCCCTCCGTCTGCCTGGCAGCCTCGCCGTCACATGCCCCCTCCGCAAACCCACCACTCCGCAGTGCCCGCTGCACCGCCGCCCCCCGTGCCCACCCCTCGGACTGCACCCGCCACCTGCCGCAGGTGGGGAGCCCGCCTCCTGCGCCCCATCTGTGCTCACGAGCACCCCCTCCCCCCGCCCACTGCCCCCACATCCCTCCGCGGGGCGGGGGCGTTACCTGGGGTATGGCCAGCCCGAGGGCCACTCCGCCGAGCAGGAAGAGGTTGCTGTGGATCCAGTGCACCAGCCGGTCGACGCAGCCGTTGGTGTGGATGAACTCGCCGGCCTCCAGGTAGGGAAGGGCCTGCATCCCCTGACCACACATGGTGTTGGCGACGACGGACTGTGCGGGGGGAGCACGTCTGGCCGTCACCCGGGGAGGGGCGGGCAGCCCACAGCAGGCGCCGGCTGAAGGACCCCGGCACGCTGCACCGGCGACCGGGGCGCCGGCCCCTGACCCCCAGGGCCCCCCTCAACTCGCCCGGGGCACCTTGGGCCCACGTCCGCCACCAGCGGATTGGACAAGACTCCCAGCTGGCGCTCGTCAGACACACACACACACACACACACACACACACACACACACACACACACACACACACACACACACAGCTTTTCTACACCATCCTCAGGATGGTGGTTATTGCCCTGCAAATAATATATACATATATAGCTTTTCTACACCATCCTCAGGATGGTGGTTATTGCCCTGGTTCCGCCCCCCCAGAGCAGTCCAGATCCTGACAACCGTGAGACTGTGGGCCAGCCAGACTCTCTGCCCAGCCTACCTCACAGGGTTGTTGCTGTGAGGAGAAGAATGAGAGCAGGAGGAGGAGGAGAATGACGGGAGCCCCCCTGAGTTGCTTGAAATGAAAAAGGCGGGATATAAACGCAATATACAAACAGATCTGCCCGGCCACGTGCGTCCCTGAAGCCTGGGGTGCCTCCCCGAGTCGTGCCCGTTCCTGTCTTTTGCAAGAGATACTCTGAACACACCCAGAAGAACAGGGGGAAGGGGCAGCGAAGACGCAGGTGGGGCTGCCGGCGGAGGGCAGGGCTTTCGGCGTGGCCGGCAGGGCGCCTTCCCGTCACTCACCGGCTCGTCGGCTCGCAGGCAGCAAGAGTAGGGCACGGAGCAGCGCTCCCGGCTGGGGTTGTGGGCCGTGCAGTTGAAGTACATGTTTTGGGACCAGTCTTTGTAGGAGATGCCCCCACAGCAGCTGAACTGCAAGGACGGAGAGCGAGTGTTCATTACAGAGGGGAGCCGCTTGCCGTCTTGGAGAAGCTTGCCGGGGTCCCATTCCAGAGGCAGGCAAGGCTGAAGTCACGGGGAGGGGGAGTGCTCCTACACTGAAGCTGAAACGCACGGTGGGCAGAGAGCAGATCCCCAGGTATCCTCAGCTCCCAGCAGTCCTGACGGGCAAGCAGGGGCTTCTGGGAGCTGAGGTCTCCGTCTCCGGGGATCTCCCGTCGGCCTGCCCCAGCTTAAGGCTCTTGCGGCTACTAGCCAGATCTCAGAGGGCCCCCACTGGAACCTTTCCGAATGGGGGAAAAAGCTGGGGAAGCTGGGAAAAAACACTACAGCTGCAGGAAAGGGGGGTGGGCCGCCTCAAGAAGCCCGGAGGTTTGGCTCCGTCCCCCAGACCCGTGATTCTGCCCTTTCTGCCTGCAGCACTGACTGCCGAGGGCACACGATGCCGCCAGAAATTTCCCGCCGCCAATTCCCAGAGGAACTGGCACGCTCGGGGAAGCCCTGAAGGGTCTGCCCTGGGGCCCTGGGCTGGAGGTTGTTTTGGCCCCAAGTTAGAGCAGAAGTGGGGGGGGGGCTCCTTCCATTTTGGGGAGGCTCTCCGGGGCTGGGCTCCTTGGTGGGCGGGGTGGCAAGTAAAAGGGGCGGGGCCACAGAGAAAAGGGGCAAGCCAGGAAGGTCGGGACTGAAAGCCCTGCCAGTTTAGCAGAGGGACTTCAGTTTTGGGGAAGGGGAAGGCCCCCGGCACGGGTGCCATGAAGCCCCCAAGTAAAGGGGTGGGGCTATCCAGCGAAGTCCAGAAAGCATGTCTGGGGTCCCCGGCAGGCCAGACTGGCCAAGGGGGGGTTCGACACCCCCAAACTAGAGAAGCAAACAGCCTGGCCTGCTCTAAGGCAGGTTTTCTCTTCCTGAAGCAGTTCTGGCCTGCAGAACCACCCTGACGGCTGCCCGCCCCTCTCGGAAGGGCACGCTTACCTGTGCCGAGCGCCCTCCCCGCAGAAGACCACCCTGTGGACACGCTCGACCAGCCCTTTCGCTGGGGTGGAGGGTGGGCAATTTATGTATTGTTTGTATTCACTTCCACCTGCCCAACAGCCAAAACTCTCCCGGTGGTCGCAACAGTTGAGCAAAATGCAGGAAGTGGGGCTGGGAAGGGTGCTGCCCCCACGGACTCCCCAGACCGCACGGCTGCCGCTGACGGGCTCCTTCGGCCTGCAGAGCCCCGGGGGGGCGGGGCTGGCACCGCTGCCTCAACGCAAGGAGTGCTTTAGACCAGTCTCCCCGGCCCGGGCCACAGCTCCCAGAATTCGCAGCGGTTGGCTGAGGATTATGGGAGCTGTGGTCCAACCCCTCTGGTGGGCACCGGGGCAGGGAAGGGTGCTGTGGCCAAAAGGGAACCTCCAGGAACCGAGTCAAGAATGCGTCGCGCTGAGTCAGCCGCCAGTCTACCCAGCCGGCACCTGCCTCTCCCAGTTGGCCCTCCCAGGCCCCTCCCAGCCCTGCTACCCAAGAGCCTCTGCCGTAGAATTGGCCGCAGGGGGCTGCCCTGCCCCCCATATGTTCTAGGATCCCCCCATATATTAGATGGGGAAATAGAGCATTCTGACTTAGCTTCTGTGGGACAAATTCCTTTGCTTATGGGAGTCAAGTGGGGGTTCGTTCGCTTGTTTTGAGATGCAGGGTCAGTCCCGAATCCAGGCTCTTGGTGGACTGGCCACTGGCCCAACCTCTGGGCCTGTGCAGAGTGCACACCACTGGGCCGCATGAACCAGCCCCCAGATGCCTGAAATCAGAAGATGAGCACCTGACCTACCTCCTTCTGGCCAAAGTCGATGAGGTTCTGGAGGTCCAGGTCGTCCCGATAATGCACGATGGCTCGGTTGACCACCTCGCTCACCTTGCTGCGCGCCTGGAGGAGAGGAGTGTGGGGACAAAATGCCGAGGATGCAGGATGCACCAGGGCGCGGGGGCCCCTGCACAGCTGCTCTGCCCCCCACCCCCGTGCAAAAGGGGCCTCGGCTTCACAGCCAGCAAGGACTTCGCATGCTGGTGCCTGGTTCCAGAACACGCGACATGGCCAGAAAGCCCCGCAAGGGATTCCCTCCCCACCCCGCAGGGTCCCTGTCCTTCTCCGGGAATACCAGAACCCAAAGAGGTCCCGCCTCTGGGAGGGGAGGTGGGCGAGAGGGCCAAGCAGCTGCCAGGGGCTTCTGCCACCGTGTGTAGCCATGCTTGGGGTCCTCCGCCACGGGACGTGGAGATAAAACGGCATCGGTCCACTTCTTGGAGGGCTGCCAAGTCCTACTGATTCCCCCATCAAATTTCTCTCCCAGAGAGCAACATAAGGCAGGAAGTGTAGCGGGCAGGAGATCCTTTCCGTTCTCCCTGGGCTGCGAGCGGGCCCCCGAAACAGAATCCGGCCTTGGGCTGAGGGTGGTCCCGCACCCAGCTCCCGAGGACTCGGCTGCCCTTGCCGGTGCTCGCCCTGCCCCACCAAACCTCTCTGCGGCCACCCACCCGGAACGCCCCCCAGGAGTCGCCGCGCACCGACCTTGTCGGAGAAGACGAAGCCCAGGACGCCCGCTGTGAGCTGCAGCAGGAACACGACGGTCAGGCAGACGGAGAACTGCGGAGAGAGGGGCCCGTGAGGCGGCCGGTGGCCGGAAAGGCCCGTCCCTGGCCTGCGGCCCCGATGGCCCTGCAGCCCACGCCACGTCTGCCTCGGCCGTCATCACCCACGGGCTGAGGAGCCATAAAATTTGCTTCCAGGAAACAGAGCTGGCCAAGTGCCCGTCACAATGCGACGGAGAGCCGCAGGGAGCAGCGGGGAAAGCCAAAAGGGGCCGTCCCGCGATGGAGCACGTACCTAACGGCCCTCCTGCTAAAGCGTCCTGGGCACGTTCATTTGGAAAACTCTCTTGCGGGGGGGGGGGGGTCATACTCTGCAGGCACAGCAGCTGGAGCAGTGGCGGCGACCCTATGGCACGCGGGCCACGGCGGGCACACGGAGCCCTCTCTGTCGGCACGCAAGCCCAGTCACCCCAGCAGCGCCCCCGCTGCCGCGCATCGGATAACAGTGCACACAGGGGCCATGCGCACGCTCGGAAAGGAGCATCGGTGCCAGGTGATGATGCCACAAGCTGCGACTCAGTAGCCACGACTCGTCCAAGCTTTCGCATGGCCGGTCAGTGCGCTGCTAAGGATATATAAAGGTTTGCTTGGACTGGCTGTTTTCAGTTTTTATTGCAGTGTTGGCACTTTGAGATACATCAGTGGGTTTTGGGTTGCAGTTTGGGCACTCAGTCTCTAAAAGGTTCACCATCATTGGGTTGGGGTTAGAAAAACGAGGTGTCCTGGCATGCTTTCGATGGCTGGAATGTATTTAGAATGGGCAGAAATGATGAGCAGCGCAGAAAAAGCTACTCAAGGCAGGCTTTTTCAAAATCACCGTCTTTTCAATGGAACTTTAGCCCTGTATTAGGGTGAGGGGTGTGCACCAGGGTAGGGTTAGGGTTAGAAAAACGAGGTGTCCTGGCAGGATTTTGATGGTTAGAATGTGTTTCAAATAGGTAGAGATGATGAGCAGTGCAGAAAAAGCTACTCAAGGAAGGCTTTTTTGAAATTGCATTATTTTTAATGGAACGTTAGCCCTCTATTAGGGTTAGGGGTGTTTACCAGGGTATGTTTAGGCCAGTGGTGGCGAAGCTTTGGTACGCATGACACAGCGGGCATGCAGAGCCCTCCCTGTTGGCATGCGAGCCAGGTCACACCAGCATTGCCCCAGCAGCTGAGCATCAGATGACAGTGCACACAGGGGCCATGCGCACGCTCAGAAAGGAGTAGCGGTGCCAGGCAACGATGCCACAAGCCGTGACTCATTAGCCGCGATTCGTCCATGCTTTCGCATGGCCGGTCAGTGCGCTGCCAAGGATGCATAGATATTTTCTTGGCCTGGCTGTGAGGTGTTTTTTTCCTAAACTAAAGCCTCAATTTTCAGGTTTGATTGCAGTGTTGGCACTTTGCGATACATAAGTGGGTCTTGGGTTGCAGTTTGGCCATCGGTCTGTCAAAGGTTCCCCCTCACTGAGCTAGAACATCAGACTAGGACTGGGGAGGCCCGGGTTCAAGTACCCTCTCCTCCAGCAAGCAGTTGTGGAGTGCAGCTGATTCCCTCTCGCATCCTCTCAGCCCAACCCAGGGCCTTCTGGGAAATAGTGGCCGGCCACATCCTGCTCCTCGCCCCAGGGCGGCCGCAGCAGCCATCTTGTGACAGTGCCCATCCCACCCGCAACGTTCCACTGACCCAGCACGGCCCCAGCTGGGCCACTTGGTGCTGCGGTACGTATAAAACAGGGTGGAGAAAGGCTGACGCGAGCAGAACGAGAGCACCCCATCCCGGGGCAGGGGGCTGCACCCACAACTCTCCTCTCCCACTCCAGTGCTCCATAATGCCCCCTTCCCCAACTCGGCGCCCTCCGGATGCATTGGGATGACCATTCCTATCGCCGTGCAGCAGCTCCGACTTGGCTCCCTGTGCTGCAGCATGTTGTGACATTTATCTATCAGGACATTTTTATCCCGTCCAGTGTGGTCCCTCTCTGGATGGCCAGCAAGCTTTGCAGCAGCAGCAAAGGCCACGCAGAGCGCTTGGGGGCTGGCGTCCCGGCTTTGCTCGGAGAACATGCACGGGGCCTCGGGCCTCTCCTCCTGGCCACGGAGCCCGGCTATCGCCCACAGGACTGCTGCCTCAGTCCCCACGAGCAGCAGGCGTGGGCACGGGGACTGCACCAGCGCAATCGCAGCCACCGTGTGGTCGGGTCGAGTGTCGCCGGCCGTGCCAGCCGCCCTGCAAGCCTTCAGCAACAGCTGGGCAGCCCAAAGCCATTCTCGACATTCTCTGCTACCGCTCTACGCGACTCTGGTGCGCCCGCAACTGGAGTATTGTGTTCAGTTTTGGGCCCCTCATTACAGGAAGGATATAGCCAGGTTGGAGTCAGTGCAGCGAAGGGCCTCAAGGTTGGTGGCCGGTTTGCAGGGGATGCCGTATGAGGTGAGACTGAGGGAACTGGGTCTCTTCATTCCTGGAGAAGAGGAGACTCAGAGGGGATCTGTTGGCGACATACAGGTGTGTGAGGGGGTGTCACACGGAGGTGGGCAGAGACCTGCTCTCCCCTGCAGAGGAAGGCAGGATGCACTCCAACGGAGCAAAGCTCAGGGAGCCAAGGCTCCATTTGGGTACCAGGAAGCACTTCCCAACAGACAGGACCCCGAGGGTGTGGAATGGGCTTGCACGGAGGTCGTTGAGGCCCCATTGGTGAGGGTGTTCAAGGGCAGGCTGGACATCCACATGGTGGGCATGTCGTGAGCAGAGCCGGCTGGTGCCCGAAGTCAGACTAGATGGCCCGGGACGCCCCTTCTGACTCACTCTGTTCTATGTTTCTCTGCTTCTCTGCCCGACCAGGGGCACGGGCAGGGGCAGAAAGGAGAGCCGGGCGTTCTCATGTTCCTCAAGCTTCATCCTGATCGGGGAGCTTCGTGGCAGCTGCTGGAGCCACAAGGGGCTCTCGACACCTGGAAGCTCGGCACGTAACCTGCGCGGCCCTCTCGTGCCCCCGTGCACTGCGCTGCCAGCATGGGCATCTCCTCCCATTTCTCCCCTGTGAACAGGGCTGTCCCACTTCGCATCGGCCCTGATCCACAGGCTGCCCCGAAAATGAAAATCCCTCCCCAGAAAGCAACCCCCTTGTGCTTTGGAGAAGTTCTGGGCTTTCGGTTTTGGCTTCTCTGGCAGAAGGCCGCCAGCCACAGCCCAGGCTGGGCACACGGCCACAGCTCTGGGCTCGCAGGCCAGGCCAGGCCCAGGAGCAAGTTAAGGACAACTTGGCGAGGTGTGCAGCAACCTGGTTTGTTAAAAAAGAGGCCTGATTTTAACCATGGAAAAGAGACCTGATTTTTTAAAAGCGAATGCAAAAGCTTCCCTTAATCCTAACTAGATTAGCATGAAATCATCTGGATATAAGCACGTTATCTGTATGGTTAATTGCCCAATGAAGCCAAAGCCTCTCTCTGATACATTGAAATAATGGCGGCCTTAATATACAAATATTCTCTGATGTGAATATTGACACTCTACCCACACATAGACACATCATCTCCGCCTGATTAAAATGAGCTGTTCTGGTCCGCCCAGGAACTATTGAGCTTCCCTTCGATTAATCAGCAATGGAAATTTCCATGCGGAGAAATGCTTCACACAGAATCGCAAAGGTAGTTTTGCGTCAGCCCAGCAGACAGAAGATCTGCAGGTTGACCCGGAAGAGAAAGGGGCTGCCCCCTTTCCTAGCTTAGCCGTGCGAGATTCTTTCACCAGAGATCCCACTGCCGGTCCCCCTTTCCTCTGGATGAGGGGGTGCGCGTGAGAGAGTCCTGCAGCGCCTCCCACTTGGCCCGACCAACACACCAACTCAGCCAATGTCCAATTCCAGGCAGGCTTTGGAGAGCTTCTGGCCGGATGCCCTCCATAACGGCCCCTGTGGGGAGCCGGCCTTCTCTCCCCATTGGCAACCTCTTGCTTGCTTGCTTGCTTGACGGGGAGCGAGCCCGGGTGCAAACGGCCATGGCACGGTCTGCCCTCCCTCTCGCCCGGTGAGCAAGCGGGTTGCAACGGCACGGACGAGAGCAACCCTGGACACTGCGCTCTCCCCTCAGCCACGTATCCCCCCTGAATCCACCCAGTGTCGCTGAGCTGTTCCTCCCGCCTTTCCCGTGAGATGGGGGCATCCTCTTTCCTGTACGTGGTGGGAATCACATCGCGCAGCCAGGGAGCGATTCCCAGGCTCCAGGACAGCCGCGCTCGTCCGTCACAGCCCCGACCCTCAGCAGGAGACGCCCCCTCCAAGCAGGCAAGCTGAGTAAGCGCACGACGGACACGCCTGCTTCCAGGGGCGCCAGGCCTCCCCTCAAAAGGGGGTCGCGCTGCTCCAAGGGAGCTGCTGTGGGCCCCACCCGCCCTTCCCTCTCCCCGACTCCTCCAGAGCTCCCCCAGCAACGGGCCGGGGCCCGGCTGCCTCACCGACTGCAGCAAGCAGATGTTCTCGCGCAGCGAGCCGACGCAGCCGCAGAAGGTGATGAGAAACATCAGGGTGCCGACCACGACGAGCAGGATGGCCGGGTCCATGGCCAGGCACGCCATCGCCGCCTCTGCAATGGGAGGGAGTCCGTGGAAGCCAGGCACGGGCCGGGCCACAGCCGCGGCCCGCCGGCTCCGTGGGCAGTCCGGCGCCCGCCTTCCCCCACCCGGGCTGGGTTTCGTGCTCCCCTTCATCCCTCCTTGGGACGCCCCTCTGCTTCCAGCCGGAGCCCTGGAGGGCCGTGGCACCTTGGAAAGGTGTTCCCAAGCATGGCGGCACAGCAGCCAGGTCAGAGGTGGTGGTCCCAGCCTGCCCCCTCTGGCTTGAGGCTAGACCAAGAACAGGAGCCTCCTTCAGCACATGGTGGAATCCGACTGCGGGGAAGCCTGGGAGGCGGGAGCGCTCAGGGCTGGGGGGCCACGAGGCCCAAGCACCTGCGCGGAGCGGCTCAGAGCTCCCAGCCGGCAACCGAGCCTCAGGAGGGGTGTCTCAACCTTGGAATGCGGGAAAGCTGCCCAGGAAGCCAGCAAACCGTAGGCGGCTGGAGGGGGGAGGGAAGGGGGCCGAGGAAGAAGGCACGGCCACCTGAAGAACCTAAGAAGGCCTGGCTGGGATACTCAGCAGGCCAGGTTCAGCTGCAACACCTGTGGACTACATCACCTAAGTTTCATGGCTTGCATTCCAGATCCTTTAACGTATCTGTAATCCATCACTCACTACTTTCATCTGTGGCTCAACTTTCCTATTTTTCTACTGCACGGAAGCTCAGTAAAACTGAGTGCAGAAGGTTTAAACAACACCGTCCTGCTGAATTTATTTCACTCCAGCTCCACGAACGATGTCGCCTTAGCATGAGGGTCTGAGCACACGGTTTCTCTTCTGCAGGAATTCTGATGTGGGATCAGGGCAAGCCAACACTGCTGTGACGGAAGCGGGGCACCTCAGAGGGGTACCCCAGCACCCACACCCATTGTTGCCTGAATTCTGGAATACCGGAATGTGCACTGCATCCACGGCCCATTGAGCAATTCCTCCGTGGATCCACCTGTGTGATTTAGCCCTGGGCCAGAAGCGGATGACCCACAGGCATGGCTGGGGCCTCTTGGCGCTGTAGGGCTTCTGTCCATCTAAGCGTTCATGGGATGGTGCTCTAAATGGGGCACAGCCTGGGCTGCCATGGTCTGCAGATGTTGCTTTTAAGCAGACACCCACGCATTCCCTTCCATCACTGAAGCTCATCCTACAGGCCTGCAATGATTCTCCACAGATCGGACCCAAATCCCGACTTTTAGGGCCAAGCCCCCCTGCAGGACGCAGGACTTGTCATGGGGTGGGTGGGTGGGTTTCAGAAGCCTGCAGTTCGAAAGAAAGCAGGGAATGGCAGGGAATTCATGGCATTCGAAGCTGCCTGTATTTACAAAACACAACAGCAAAATGCGGGACTGACTTGACTATTACAAGGTGACTGTTGTTCCGATTTTGCCGCATTTTAAAGCGCTTCATTGGGAAGGGTGCGATCCCGTGCCTGTTTATATGGGGAATACTGTCCTGGTAAGCTGCCTTGGGAGCCATGTGGGGCACAGAGGTGGGGTATATGCCCGAAAAATAACAATTATGCCAAGCCGGTCCCCCGGCCTCTGCTCACGTCTCCGTACCTGCATGTTTTATCAGCCGGGCATAAACCCCCACAGCTACCATCGCCATGGAAATCATCTGTGGACAAAGAAGCCGAGAAGAAGAGTGTGAGCACCCCACCTCCAGAAGCTTGTCAAGCCAGCCAGCCAGCCAGTCTGGGAATGTTGGGAGTTGTAGTCCAACCCAGCGGGAAAGCGCTAGATTGGGAAAGACACTTTCCTCAGTGCAAGGGGGGACCCCCAAGGAGGGGGGCACATGCACAGCACCAACATGCGCCACTGAGGGTGGGCCATCTGGATCCCCTAGGCCCGGGGTGGGCAGAAGCTGGCTCCCCAGATGTTTGAGGAGGCCCAGATGTGAGGGGGGAGTGGAGGAGCAGGGGAAAATCGCCAGGTCCAGGCCAGAACTATTTGGGTGGTCCCACCGAGCAACTTCAGCTCTCCTCAGCAACGAGAAATCCCACCTTTCATACAAAAAAAGTCACTTTATTCAGAGAGGATGGTAGGCTGTACTCAAGGACTGAGTGTGGGCTGCCTTTGAACCATGGCTTATGGCGTTGTCTGAACCCAACAGAGATAACCAACCATGTGGAACAACCTGCAGTTCAGAACCCAACAAACCATGGGCCATCTTTCTGGGTCGTTTGTGTTTAGCGCAGATAGTTTGGACAACATAACCAACAGTTCAACAACAGCCCACACTCTTCTGTTGACCGGGTTATTGTATTGTCTGAATCCAGTCACGAGTAACCCTCAGAACAACCCTGCAAGGGAGGTGAGAGCTGAGCAAGCCCCACGGACCCAAGAGCGAGTGTGGTGTACTAGTTAAGCGTCAGGACAATTTTTTATTATTATTATTTAGGAAATTTATAGGCCGCCCATCACTGTCGCCTCTGGACGGCTTACAGCATTATTCTAAATCCTAAATAAAATAAATGGGCTATTCCACAACTGGGCATAAAACTACCGTACTTAAATCAAATACAATTAAAATTGCTTAATGTTAAAACACTGGTTAAATAAAAAGGTCTTGACCTGGTGCCGGAAAGCATATAATGACGGTGCCAGGCGGACCCCTCTAGGGAGCGCATTCCATAGTCGGGGCGCCACCACAGAGAAGGCCCTCCTCCGGGTACTCTGTCTCCTGACCTCTTTCACAGAGGGTTCCCGGAGGAGGGCTCTGCTGCCGACTAGCACTTGGGAGACACAGGTTCGAGTCCCCGCTCAGCCATGAAGCCCATTGGTGACTCTGGGCCAGTCAGAGAGCCTCAGCCCAACCTACCTCGCAGGGCTGTTGTTCTGAGGATCGAATGGAGAGGAGGAGACTCACGCAAGCTGCCTTGAGTCCCTTGGAAGGGAAAATGCTAGATACAAATATAATACATAAAGAACCCCACAGTGCTTTAATCCAGCTTTTCCCAAGCTGGAGTCCTCGGGTGTGGGTGTCAGAGAACAACTCCTATCACTCTGAGCTAGCAGGTGAATCGGTACTAGCTGGAGGACCATGTGCCACGTACAAGCGGCTCTGCTAGAAGGGCTCTAGAGCCATGTGGCTAGGAAGGGCACCGACTCTGCCTCCCCCCTGCCCAAATTGCCAGGTCCTGGGGAGGGGGATCCCCAGAGCCCACATGACTTGCACAGAGGAACCATCAGCCAAAAAAAGAAGCAGGCCTGCCAGGAATCACCCCCCCCCGCCCCCCGCAACCCAGCCAACGAGGCCTGGCCCCTGGACCTCTTCCGGAAAAGCAAAACCACAGCTCGCTTGGCGGGCGCTCGAGGCCACGTGGGGAATGAGCTCGCGGGCAGCAACCTTTTGTCCCTGCCACAGGCTCCCTTCAGAGGCTGCCGGCACAGAGTGAGGAGGGGGGGGCCGGGACAAAGGCCACCCTCCCCCCCACCGCCGGCTGCCTTCCCTCTCTTCTCGCAGCCCCCGCCAGCATAAGCAGAGCAGCGAAGGGTTAAAGGGGCCCAGAAAGGGGCCAACGGGCAGTGTGGGGGAAGCGGGGCTGGCAGCTTAGGGGGTCCCGGCCTCCCCTCCTCCCCTCCGTGGCACTTCACACCACCCGAGCTGGACCAGACCCACGCCTGGCTCTGTTCTCACGGTGGCCACCCAGCTGCCCGCAGGATCTGACCAGCAGGACAGGAGAGCCTCAGCACCCCCCCGCCCATGCTCCCCAGCAGCGGGTGCACGCAGGCACACTGTCTCTGAGCGCGGAGGAGGCTAATGGCCACCAGGACTAGGAGCCATGGACAGCTTCCCCTTCCAAAACCATCCGCACTGATGGCTGCGTCCTTGGGAAGCTTCTTCGCGCCCGCATGTTTGCACAGTTTTGGAGAGCTCTGAGCTAGCCGCACAAAGAGAGCCCGCTCGGGTCGCCTTTGGGGTTCTCCTTCTGGCCCACACAGGCTGCTTTCTACACCGTGGCGAGAGGACCTGGAAATGGCAGAGGAGAACGAGAACAGAAGCAGGCAGCTGCGCTCCGTTCCAACCCGGGCAAAGTCTGGAAGCATAAAACTAAAGGCGACGTCAGGCTGGCGGAAACTTTCCCAAGTGCCGGTCAAGGAGGGCTGGTGATGCCGCGCCGAGGCGGTGCAGAGTACGGCCATCACGGCAGAAACAGACACTCGGGGAAGCTCCTCCCAGACCATCCCAGGGCAGGAGAGCTAACCCTGCCAGCCTGAGGCCCAAATTCAACTTCACAGGTTCTCGGGTCCTCATTCCCATGCTGTGAGGGGCCTGAAGCAAAAGGGGGAAGGCCCCAAACACAACGATAGGTTAAAGCTCTTTCTCCCAAAAACTGCGCCTTAGGAGGGGGCTGTGAGCTACAGGGGGTGTCTGTGAGGGGTGGGATGTGCAAAAACCGGACCACCAGCCTGTGTGCAGCTGAGGGAAAGGGGTGCCCCAGCTTTCGCCCAGAGGTGTGAGCTTATCCCTCAAGTTAGGGCTTTAGGGCTTCGGACCAGCACCGTGAACTGGGACCAGATGCAGGCAGGGATAATCTGAATATGACCCTCGGGAAGCCCACCCGCTTCCTTGCTCAGTTGTTTGGGCTCGCGTAGAGCTGGCTCTTCCGGCGCAAGCGGCGGTGCTTCCCGCATCGTGCCGTGCGCGGCACCTGGAAATGCTCTGGGGCAGCTGGCACATGGTTTGGGACTCAGGGTTCTGGAGGGGTCCGAGCTGGCCAGAGCCAGCCCAGCAGCGGCTCGGATGAGGCGATGGACAGATCGGCTCATCCGCCTCGAAGGCAACGTTTTAAGCCAGGTGGGGTGGTAGAGGTTGCAGCCCCACTACATCTGGAGGACTCCGTCTCCCATCAGCTGCAGCCAATGATGCAGGATGGTGGAAGCTGTAGTCCAGCAAGAGCTGACGGACTGAATGTTCCCCGTTTCTCTTTTAATGGACCACCCAAACATTCAGAACAAAAGGGGGAAATGAGAAAACAAGAAGCGTTATGCAGATGAGAACGAGGGGCTGGCTGCGCCGAAGGGCTTCCAAACAGGACCGAGGGCGAGCGGACAATTGCCTCCAAGCAAGCGTCCACAAACACGTCTGGTCTGTGCTAGAGAGCAGGTGAAAGGTAGACCCACCCGCATTCCTGCTTCCGCTAGAAAACAGGCTTCCCCAGCCGGGCCGGCCAAGCTGCTCCGCTCTGCCCAGGCATCCCGTCCCCCTGCAAAATACGCCACGCAGGTTTGAAGTGCGCTTGCACAGGCGCACTGGGACAGTGCCACGGGTCGCTCAGAAGTGGCACACGGTGTAATACCCAGGTGAGAAATCCTGCTCACTCGTTTTACTGATCGCATGTCAAACTGCCCCACAGGCAAAGCTCTCTGTTATGGAAGTCAACTGCAAAATGCAACCAACTTTTTGAATGAATGCAAAGGGGAACGTTGTACAAAACCTGACGCCCTCCAGCGGCATGGGGCTACAGCTCCCATTTGTGGCCAGGGATGTGGGAAGTCGCAGTCCAGCTCATCGGTAACGCACCAGGCCGGGGAGGCTCATTTAACTAGGGGCAGCAAACCTCGGTGCCCCACACCAAAAGCTGCTGCACCGGCAATGACTTCCGCGTCTGGCAAAAGATGCAGGGGGGGACCTTCCACGACGGGGGCACACCAGGCCCAGAAAGGACACCCGACAGCAGCTCCCTGCGCATGTTCCCCAGCAACTGGCTTATATAAGCACGCGGCCTCCGCACACCGCCTCCGCACGCGGCCAGCAGGACTAGTAGGCACGCATAACCTGCTCCTCCAGGAATTCGCTTGGTCCCCTTTTAAAGCTGTCCAGATTGGTGGCCGTCACTACCTCTGGTGGACGCAAGTTCCACAGATCAACTCTGCTCTGGGCGAAGGACGTCTTTCTCTTTCTTAAACTCACCCCCACCCAATCTGCCTCATGGCCTGACCCCTCTGGGTGCTGGCATCGTAAGCGAGGGAGAAAGGTCGCTGCACCTGCCTTCCCCACCCTCTGAGCCCCACATTTTTCTGGACGGTCGGGCAGGGCACCTGGCCAGCGAGGGGGCACCTCATCCACAAGCCGTGCTCTCCGTGGCAAACGAAGCTGCCACTATGCCTGCAGCGGACGGGCTGCAAGCCAAACTTCACTAGCCCAGTACCTTCGGGCTGCACCTCCCATCATCCCCAGCAACACACGTGTCCCACACTGAGGTTCCTGGGTTCCATCCCCCATCTCTCCAAGCTCCAAGAGAGAAAATGTCCGCGGAACCTTCTCTGAACCCGATCTTCCCACCTGAAGCCTAAACTCTGCATTCTCTCCCTTAATTAAAAAAAATCTCATTTTTGACGCCCGTTTTCAACGAATACCTCCATTCCAGAACTTATGCCCCGTTCCTCCTTTCCGAACAGCCCACAGCACCGAGTTCGTAGGTTAACAGCTGCAAATCTACTGGAAGCCTGACAACGGGACGGAAAAGCATCCATATGAGCCCGTTGCAGAGCCGGAGCGTTTGTGCGCGGTGCAGGTGCGGGAGCGGGAGAACGAGGTCTTCGCGGAGCTGCGGCCGCTACCATAGAAAGACCGCGGCGAGCCTAAGACGGCGGCTAGTCCTCACTGATCCGGCCTCCCCACAGTCGGCCCCCCTACCACGAGGGCAGCGAGCCACGGACGGCGCGAGACTCGGCAACGCCGTTCACACGGACACGCGCTCAAGGGCAAGCGCGCCGAGCCCGCCTCCGCCGCAGCCTCGGGCCAGCCCATTCCCACGCGCGGCTGCCCCCGCCTCCCCGGCTCACCCAGAAGACCATGTTGAAGAAGAAGAGCAGGTATTTGACCAGCGGGCTGACGAAGGTGAAGTCCTCCCCGTGGTGGGGGGCGCCGGAGCCCCGCGCCGGCCTCTTCGCCATGGCCGCCGCCGCCCGGCCCGGCCCGGCCCCGCGCCCGCTCCTGCGCCCGCGCAGCCTGCCCAAGCGGGCGCGCCCGGCGCGGCTGCCGACGACTGCCCCGGAGCCCGCGCCCGCGCCGGGGTGCGCCCGCGGGAGAACGCCCGCCCCTCCCCGCTGGCGGCTCGCCCATTGGCCGAGCTTGCCGCCAGCTCCCCGGCTATTGGTCGTCCTCCCACTCGCTCATTCCCCCCCCCCGTTCCGTGGAATCTTCAGTATCCCTTTGCAAGGCACCACCTGTTAAGTCGGCGAGGAGGACGCAAAACCTTTAAAGGAGCCGCGTCCCTCCCCGAAAGGCGACCCGCTTCACACGCGCTGACGTGCGCTGAGCTGGATGATTGATTGCTGGACGTGGTCTTTTCTATACCACCAAGGGTTAAAAAATTTAAAAAAGCCCTAAGCGGTTTACGTTTAAATAGTAAAAATCACATTTAAAATCTTAATGTTAAAATCACATTTAAAATAAAGTTAAAATCATATTTAAATAACAATTTAAAACAGTTGCGAGTAAAGTAATAACAATAGAGATTATTAAAATCATAATTTTTAAACAACCAGATTTGTCAAAAGGGACGCAATCCTATCTGTTTAAACAGAAAAGATTCCCCAACATCCCTGTGAAGCAGAGCCATGATCGCCACATGAGGAAGTGGTGGGAGGGAGTCATGCTTGTAGTGCCATTGGGCAATATGGAGCTGCTGCACATGGCAGAGCCTTCTCTGTGGCGGCACCACAACTCGATAACTCATTTCCGGTAGGAATTTACTGGAATCTTCCATGCTGCTATCATTGAGGTGCCAGTTAAAGATTTGTTTGTTTGTATCAACTTTCAGAGTATAGGTGTTTTATCCATTTTCTGGAACTGTAGAGATGGTTTTATTGCATTTGGTTGGGTGTTTGTAATTTTAGGGTTATGATTTAAATTGTGTTCATATGTTATATTGATGTTACACAGGCTGTGAGCTAACTGAGGCTCATTCTGAGGAAGAGAAGAATACAAATAGATATAAAATACATATGGCTAACCTTAATAAAGTATCTGGTCTCCATTTGTTCTTCCTTTTAAACTGAAACCTGGCATTGCATTGCGTGTTGAACCTTTCCTACTTGATTTAAGCACTACAAGGTGAGCGAAAGGAAGGGGTAGGAGTCTTTCTGCATTGCCAATGCTAAACATTAACTCTCCCAGGGAAAACAACCAAGAGCCCATCAAAGCGGGAATGTTCCAAACAACATTTGCAGAATCGGGACACCGCTTTTGGGGAATCTCTGACAGCTGCTTTGTTGTGGCTGAAGAGTAAACTGTTGGCATTCTTAAAAACAACACTTCAGCTTCTTGGAACATCCAGCAAAATGGGATGACGTCAGTGCTCCAGCTTTCAAGCTGGGGTCAAGTTTGGCATGCGTGCAAAGTGCCGTGCCTGGGGAGGATGGAAAATCACTGCAAACGAACCCTGAACAGCATTCTGGGGAAACTCCTTTTGTCCTGAGGTTCTCTTCTGTAACACTTGTTATCATGAGAACTTGGACAATTTAGAGGTCAATTTCAACTGAACATGTAGCATCTGTGCAAAAAGTTGAGGTTTCATCACGATGCTCTGCAGGTGTTGTGAATGCCAAGATTGTTTTCCTCTTGGCAGGGCCTCTGTGCCGTCTGCCCTGTTCCTCAGTCGGTGCACCCTCTCATCCGCTTCCCAGTTCCAAGAGGGTCCCGGTGTCACGGGGCCCCTTCCGGTGTCACTGTTCTGCAGAACCGGCTTCTGATAACTTTGGAACAGGGAACTTCCAGGTTCGGCACGACATCTCCAGGGCCGGCTGGGAAGGACCCCTCTCTGGACCCCGGGAAAGTCACCGACCATGATTCGTTAGCCACATGCAACCCACAATTGTTGGTGGCTTGTTGCACAGAGGTGGGTAGAGCCCAGTTCTCCCCTGCAGAGAAGGGCAGGATTCGTTCCAATGGAGCAAAGCTCAGGGAACCAAGGTTTTGGTTTTGGAACCAAGGTTTTGGATTTGCAATCCGCGCTTGGCCCGTACACATTGTGGGTTCCTGTGCTGTGTGAACCCCGTCATCGCTTGCTGTACTAGGAGATTTAGATTAGCCCACATGGCATTCAGGGCATGTGAGGGCATTGCAGGCCAGGGGGGCTAATCCTGCCCCCAACGTACATGTTAGTCGAGAAGCACAAGGTCGGTCGTATGCATGTACTTTCCAGGGCTTGAGAAAGAGCAGCCCCCTGGAGGGAGGCACCCCCCTCTCCTGCCGAAGAGCACGGGGTGGCGGTCCGGGGGGATTTCTTTGGGAGCCTCCTGGGAAAGATGCCGCGTGTCAGCCGAAGGCTGCTGGCACCACTGGGGGCTTCCCTCCGGCGACCCACAGTGGTCCCGAATTCCCTGCTGGCAAGGAGCTGAGTGTGCACTTAGGCTCCGGAATGTGTGGCCACCAGCTCAGGCGACTCTTACAGGGGGCTGGGCAATCTCCGGGAGGAGCCGGCTCTCCGTGGCTCCTAGCCCTGCTGGCTACGAGCCGCCTCCGCCATCCGAGGCAGGAGGCCTATGGACACGGTCTCAGGGGAGCCTGCTGCACCCACGGTCCGGATGGGGGTTTCCCTCAGGCAGCGGCTGGCCACCGTGTGAACCGAGGGCTGCGCTGGGCGGACCTGGGCCTGCCTCCGCAGGGTGTTTCTCTCGCTCTCAAGGGCCCTGCCAAGCGCAGGCGGCTGCCCAGAGGCCCGCCCGTGCATGGGAGAAAGACAGTGGGGAGAGAAAAGGGGTCATTCCATGTATGTGCATTGTGGTTGTGCTGCTCCTCAGCCGAAGCATGACACAGGCTGCCGGCTCAGCTGATGGGTCGCTGTCGTGTGCCGTCCAGCTGCCTCCGACTTACGGCCACCCCACAAATGAGGGGGCGCCCTCCAAAGCGTTCCATCCATGACAGCCCTGCTCAACTGCTCCAGTCTCAAGGCCGTGGCTCCTTTCTCTCCTCCCTCATCTTCCTCCTCTTCTCCCTTTCAGTCTCCTTAGCAGAATCACCACCTCCAGGGAGTCCGGCCTTCGCACGACGTGCCCAGAGTTTTGCCAGTTTTGCTTCTAGGGAGAAATTCGGCTTGATGTGATCTAGGGCCACTTGTTCCTCTTTCTGCCGGTCCGGGGTGTCCGCAGTTTTCCTCCAGCAGCATGTCTCAAAGACATCCATTTTCTTCCCGTCAGCTTCCTCCGTGATCCAGGGTTTGATGTATCTGTACATAGTGATCGGGAATAGAATCGTGTGGATGATTTTGGCCCCCAGTAAAGCACCCTTATGCTTGAGAAGCAACTGACAGGTCATCAATAAAAAGCATCATCCCTCCCTGCCCATAGGTTTATAATCTTAAATCTATAGGGGACAAAAGGAAAATGGAATAGGGAAGGAAACCTGGGGGTGGTGGAAAGGATGTGAACTTCTAATATGCACTTCGGGAATATTAACCTGGGGAGAGAAACCATTGATTGTTGTTGGGCTGTGAACTCTACCTAGTGGTTAACAATCCATAGTTAAAACATGGTGTAGACTCTGCATGTAACAACAACCCACGATTCAACAATTCAATTTGGACTGTACTCAGTTCAGACTCTGGGTTGTCATGTCATGCACACCAGGTCTGTATCTACGGTTACTGCATTAAAATAAACGATGCTCCCGTGGAACACCCTGGATTCTTGTGAAAAATACAGTGATCCTACTGGCTCCCTCTGATGCTAGTAGTAAAGACTGAGTAACTTGTGGGGCACAACATTTCAGGACTTTGTGCATATTCAGTGCTGTGCAGTCTGTCCGTAAGGATGTACACCCAGACATAAGTCTTACTTTCGCCTGTGAAACGGCCATTGGTGGAAGCCCTGCTCAGCCTTCCAGAGGTTCAGGTCCCAGCATCTCCAGTCAGGGCCTGCAGGAATCCTGCCTGAGGTGCACAGAACCTGACTTCCAACACTCCGGAATGCTGCGATGCTGCACACACTTCTGGGATGCGAACCCCAATGAACTGGACTATACTTCCAAGGGACAGACGCGGGATCAGGCCGCAAAGCTGCCCTGAGAAGCTTCTGGCTTCTCCTTTGACTTTCCCCACACAAAGGCGGGGTTGGTGCTTCAGGGACTGGGATGGCTTGTATGGCAGGCAGAAGCGACAAAAGCCTTAGGCGAGATCACCGGGCCGCTGGTCCGTCATGCCAGCAATTCACATCCCCTGATCCTGTCCTGACCCTGTTGCAAATTTCAAAACAGAGTTCCCTGAGCCCAGGGCTCCATTCTTCTCGGTCATCACTGCCTCCCTCTCCTGCTTCGATGCAGCTTTGTCCGTCCTCGCCTGGGCAGAACTGATTTTGGTCCACAACTCCCCCCTTTCGGATTGTCCATTCAGCACAACTTCTGCTGGCAACCAGTGGCATTGTCAGGGCCTGCTGAAAAATAAAGAAGGAAACCGCTTTTCTCCTCCTCCTTTGAAAGCCTTGCAGTGTTATTTAAGGTCCTCTGCACCAGAGGTGGGAGAGAGTCCAACAGAAGGCAGGCCCACTTGTTTTTTCTGTTTTTTTCTTCCGGGTGTTGAGTGGCCGTCCTTTGTTTCCATGGCTTTGTCTTTACAAGCACAATGGCAGGCTGAAGTTGCAGCTGTACCAACGCACCCTTTCTGAATTCATGTAGGGTGCAAACCTGCGCGGAAGAAAGCTTGCCATGCCCAGCGTAGCTGGCTGAAGGGATGCTGTGCGGAGCAGGAGCAGTTTTTCCCGTCTAAACATGCCTTATTGATTTAGTTCATGTTTCCTTAGCTTACCATGAAATGTCTGAGATGCTTAATGAGGTCTAGGAGAAGAAACCGGAGAATATGTTTCAGAGGCACACAGCTTGCGACTGAAAGATTGTTTTTAAAAAAGGCAGGCAGAAATTCCAAGCAAATTTCTCTTAAAAGACTTGCAAGAGACAGAACCCACGGAGGCGCCACTTCTGAGAGAACTTGTAGACATGAGATATGCCACGGAATCCTGTGTGTGCCCACCTAGAGGGGTGGGCAACTTGTGCCCCCCCGGACTTTTTCCCTACAAGGCCATCAACCCCAGCCAGCATAGCCAGTGGAGAGGGTGATCGGAGCCATAGGCCAAAACAGCTGCCCACTCCTGTCGCAAACCCCCTCACCCTCTCCATACTGCAGTTCGGCTTGGGAACAGTTTCCCATTTGTTCTGAGCCTGCGGTGGGGAGTGAAGGTGGAGGATGTTCTCAAATCATGACAAAAGGCAACTTCCTCGTTTGAACCAAGTATGGATATGGGGTGGGTGAATGTGGAAACCTCAATGTTGGGGTTTTCAGTACAGGGAAAGTCACAGGACGATATGTGGTGGTGATGGGAGGAATCAGAAGCAGTGACTTCAGAGGGCCATTGGCAATACTTTCTGGGAATGATGGGAATTGTAGCCCAACCCAAGACATCAGTCCGGCAGAGTCCATTCCCCCGCTGCAGTCACAAGCTGCCAGAGCCCCTGAGCCGAAGCGGCAAAAAGCCATCAAAAGTCCCTCTGTGACCCGAGAGCAGGGGGCACCGTTCCTGCCGCCCCCTGGACAGCATGCAGTGCTGCCTCCCGCAGCCGCTGGGACGCCGGAGGTGTGGTGCTCCGGCGGATGCTCCAGAACGGCTCTCGGCAGCCTTGGCTGGCATGGCCAGCGGTGCAGGAGGGAGCACAAAGTGGCCCGACCTCCGCCAGCCCTGCCCAAGCTGACCCCCCCCACCCCCCGCGCTCTAGTTTGGACTACCATCCCCTCAGAACTTGGGCATTGACTGTGCTGGCTGGGGCTGATGGGGATTTGAGATCCTGGATGGAATAATCTTACGAGGCAGAGTGCATGTGACGTCCGATGGTGACACACACAATCCAGTTGTGAAGCACACAAATAACCTTTGTCTCCCGGCTAGCCGAACCACCGTCCCATGCTTCAAATCCGCTTCTGCATCCCTGATCCATCAAAACAACAACACAGTTATTTGCCAAGCCTGTTTTCAAAACAGCAGCCACATGGATCACATCCTCAGTGTTCTCCACTAAGGTCAGATACGTCATATTTCTATTTAAAAACTGCCGTTCTTCCAAAATCTGCAACTATCCATTATCCTTTGCATATGTCAACACGATGCAAGAACGTGTCCTCTTTTGCTTTCCACTTTGGTGACATCTCAGTGGCTGGAACTTTTTTCGATCCTGATCGTGAGGCAGGTCTCCCAGAGCATCCGGGAGCAGCAGGGTTGCTAAGGCAAGGCCCCGGTCCTCCAGCATCTTGCCATAGCTTCCCAATCCCTGAAAGAAGCCACTGTTTCTCTCCCCCCCCCCCCCCAATGTTAGGGGCAGCGCTGCTCTGGAAGCTGTCTTAAGCTTGCCCTCCATGCGACTCCTTCTCCTTCACTCTGCTCTTCACTTACGCATTTCGTATATTACAGTAATTTCAATCTCACCTTTCTCCATCAATGCATATTCAGTTCGTTAAGTAGAAAATTGTAAATGTAACCCAGTGATAAAACAGTAAAAGCTCTGCTCAAAACATCTTGGCAACCGAATTAAGAGAGGCTCTTTGGAATAAAAGGATTTTCAGCACCCACTGAAATGTTTGCTGTAGCTGTTGCTGCGAGATCCCAGCATGTCTACAAAACATGCCACTTGGAGGGTGACACTTCCTGTATTCATAGAGGCTGATGCCAGAATACAGTTGTTCATGTTCAGGCTCCCATGAGACCCTGAATTCTGCATCTTATTTATGCATTGTATTTTTAATCCACCCAAATGTTTTCTGTAATATATCATTTTGCGAGAAATGCTGGATGGATGGCTGCAATGTGCTGTTGGTGAAGAAGCTCTTATAGATGGTTTGTAAGTTTGTGTTGGTGCACAAAGCAGCAACAGGAACTCTAGGGGGACCTAGTCATTGCTGCGTATTTTTTTCTGAGCCAAATTTAAGGAGCTGCTATCAACGTTTCAAGCCCTAGATGGTTTGGGTCTGGGTAATTTGGAGGACTGTCTGCACTCACATGCAGGTTCCCAAGTTCTAAGACCAACTACTGGGTTCTTGTTCCCTGACCTTCCAAAGAGAGCTGCTAGGCTAGTATATACACCAGGGATGGGGCCTTTTTGGTAATGGCTCCATAGATCTGGAATAGATTCCCTAGGGAAACGTGTTTCTTTAGCCCCCTCCTTTCTGGATGTAAGTGGGCTCTAGAGGCCCTTTTTATTCCAGTAAACTTGTGGATGATTTGTAGTGGTGTAAATGTTTTATCTGCTACAAATGTTTTCACGCTGTATTCATTTGCTATATCTGAATATTTTATGTGACTGCTGGAGTGAGTGCTTGCTTTTGCGAGGTCTCACACGTTGCTCTCCTGCTATTGACTCGGAAAAGTAATTCAATCTAAAAGGTGGTTAGCCTCTTTTGTGGAACATCGACAGGCGAGTGTGGTTGCACTCATGACTTGCGTTTCCCTCAAGAGGATGTGCTTCCTTGAAACAGAGAGAGGTCATATGTTGTTGTAAACCGGCTTCGACCACGGGCGGTATAGAAATATAATAAAATAAAGTAGAATATCTCCACCTGTTGAATTTCTGCCCGCCAGCAGGCAGCGACCTCTAGCGCAGGAGGCCTCCCCGCGCGGGCGCCCTCCCTGGGGACGATGGGAAGCGCAGCCCAACGCCGCGGGAGGGAGCCCGCCCGAGGGCGGCCGCCCCAGGCGCCCGTTTCTGAGGCCCGGCGCGGCGGGGGCTAGCGCAGGAGAGGCGCCCGCGGCGGGGGCGCGCCCGGAGCCGGGGCCCGTCGAGGGGCGGGCGGCC